AGCCCGGACCCTGGCCTGGATGCGGGCGCCGCGAGGCGCGCAAAGGCGGCGGAGGGACGCGCGGGCCTCGCCGCCACCGCGTCCCACACGCCCGACGCGACGACTGTCCGGCGCGCCAAGGAAGAGCCTGGCTCCAGTGTGGGGCCGGCTCCGGGCGTGTCGTTCTGGCATTAGCGTGGCCTGGACCTCGCTAATTTCGCTCCCTTTCCGGATGAGTGGACAGTGGGCGAGAAGGTCCTCTCCGAACACGCCTTTGGTTTCGTGGGAAGAGCTTTCTCGGGGTTCAGCGAATGCTTCCAGGTAAAACCGCTGCAAGCCTTGCCAAATATCACTATTCCTGGGGGGGGACTCGCTCTAGGACCGGGCTGATGGATGGCCAGGCGCCTAAACTAGCCAGGACACGTAATCAAGGCGACGGTGATGATGACGTGGAGGAAGCGCACCCCATGGATGGGAATGACGGTGATCATGGTCCCAAAAAAGAGGGCGATCCTGAGCCACCTGTCCAAACTCGCAAGACTGGGCTTGGAAGGAGAGCGCGTCGGAGTGGCCCGCATCGCCGTCGTTCTCAGCGCTCCAAGTGCCGTCCTCCCAAGGGCACGTGTGCAACCCAGGAAGACGGGGTAGCTGTTTCCCGCAGTCCCGATGCAGCCGACACCATCTTGAGGCAACGGGACACGGAGTTGATCTCTCTAAAACGCCGGGCTCAGAATGCCAAGCGAGTCAACAGTGCACTCAAACAGAAAACGGAAGGTGGACTAGGAGAACTCAAACCTCCTGAGCCAAATGGGAAAATCGATGCCCGCTGGACCACGGAGGAGCCGCTTCTAGCCGCGCGAGGTGTCCGCAAATATGGTAAAGATTGTCCAGCTGTTGCAGATGTGATGGGCAGCAAGACGGTGGGGCAAGCGAAGAACTTCTTTGTGAGCCGCAGGCGTCGGTCTAACTTAGAGGAGGTATTGCAGGAGTGGGAAGCAGAACAAGGAACCCAGGCTTCTGGTGGTGATGCTTCCGCTGCAGGGGAGGAGACCAGAAGTGCCTCTCACGCGCCATCGGGGACGAGCACTGAGGCAGAAGAGGAGGCGCAGACCCCACGGGCTCCGGGCTCCGGGCCCATCACCTCCTGCCCCTCGGCCACTCTGAGCCAGCCTCCGCCCCTTCTTGGTCCGGCACTGCCTGCTGCCCGGCTCGTCCCCGCGGCCTCCTCCACTCCCGCAGTAGTTCGGTTCGTCCTGCCCCGGCCGACTTCAAATCAGCCTCCACCCCCGCTCCTGGGCCCTGCCGATTCGACGCCACCCGTCCAAACCCAAGACCGGTGCTGTCCACGGTGGGTGGTCCACAACCACCGTCACTTATCGGACTTCAGACAGATTCACAGTCCTCACTGCCCTCAAGGTAACTTGGACAGAGCGGCCGCAACTTTTCACTCTTTCGTTATACCAGTGTTTCTCTGACTGATGGGAAAGAGGAAAGGATAACCCTTCCCAGATAACTGAGGCTGCGAACTAGTTCTGTGGCAGTGGACTAGCATAAGTGGATGTCTAAGAAATTTCCAGTTCACAAAGCAAAATGTTATACAACAAAAAGCCTCCAGTTAGCCTCCTTTCTAGAGTATACATTCAGCAATGTGACCTCATAAGAGGAAAAAACAGATGTAAGGATTCTATATACCAAGTTTTTTTGTTTCGTTTTTACTGTGTTTATTTTACTGAGGTTTTTACATTCCTGCCTCTTCATAGTCAAGGCTCTTAGTACAGGAATATGGACTTAGGAACTGTGAAAACTCCTTAAGTTTCTTAAGTTAAGGATGTTTGACTTCTTTCTTTAATTTAATTTTTAAAAAACAATTTCCTATGTTAGGAGTGCAAGAATAAATAGCTGGCATTTCCAATATTGACATATGCTCATTTTATGCATATTTAAGAAATTATAACTGCATATCCCTTTTTCCAAAAAATTTTGCTTTTATTTCTTAAAGGAATTGTGTATATTCCTTTAAAAGAAAGCAATTTAATCAGCTGCAAAGAAATTATGTGAAACCACAAAGAATATACTGAACCTACTAACCCTTTAGCATACAATTTAGAGCCGGGTTCGGTGGCTCAGCCGGTAATCCCACGCCTTTGGGAGGCTGAGGTGAGTGGATTGCCTGAGCCCGCGGGTTCGAGACCCGCCTGGGCAGCGAGACCTCATCTCTACAATAAATCAAAAAATCAGCCGGTCTTGGTAGCACACGCCTGTAATTCCGGCTACTCGGAAGGCTGAGTTGGAAGGATCGCCGGAGCCTGGCAGATCAAGGCTGCGGTGGCCGGGAGCGGCCACTGCACTCCAGGCTGGGCGGTGGAGTGAGACTCCAACTCAAAAAAAAAAAACTTAGGGCCGGGCTCAGTGGCTCACCCTGTAATCTCAGCACTTTGGGAGACCCAGGTGAGTGGATTGCCTGAGCCCGCGGGTTCGAGACCCACCTGGGCAACTTGACAAGACCTCATCTCTACAATAAATCAAAGTGAGCCGGGTGTGGTAGCGCCTGCCTGTAGTTCCAGCTACTTGAAAGGCTGAGGCGGAAGGATCGCCGGAGCCCAGCAGGTCAAGGCAGCGGTGGCCGGGAGCGGCCATTGCACTCCAGTCTGGGTGACAGTGAGACGCCAACTCAAAAAAAAAAAAAACAAACATACAATTTAGGGTCGTAGGGCAAAGTCCTTGTTTAAAGACCATTGACTCCAACATCTATCAGAAATGAGGGGATTGGAATAATAGTTTTACATACAAATGAGGACTTTGTTGAAATATAATGTCTTACTTAAGTTCCTTCAAAATTAAGTTTTGAATTTTTTTATGATTCTAAATGCTGTCTGCTTTTAACTAGTAGTTCCTACATTTGGGGACTTTAGAAAAGAATTCTATTTTGTCAGTTAGGTAGAGATGGTCATGATGGAAGCATTTATTTACGGTATTCTTTCTGTGTTTAGTTTCTGAACTTGAAATTGCCCTTATATTTAATAACATGGCCTGCATTTAATATGAAGGGTATTTTCTTGATAATTCTGTTGTACTATTTGGATACATTTGTGTATTCCTTGCAGCCAATCTGTACTTGTGGGATTGGTTTAAAGTTAAATCATCAACCTTATTTCATAAAATAAGTTAAGAATTTGTTCTGTGATATCTAAAAAAAAAATGTGGTACATATACACAATGGAATATTACGCACCCATAAAGAAGAATAAAAACATGAACTTTGCAGCAACCTGGATGGAATTAGAGTCTATAATATTGAGTGATCTTTCACAGAAACAAAGAACTGAGTATCACATGTTCTCACTCATAAGTGGACCTTGAACAACGGCTGCAATATTATAAGAAAAGGATTGACAGTAGTGGGAAACTGCAGAGGGGAGGGGAGGCAGGGAGATGGAATTGACAGTAGTGGAAATCTGCCTGGGGAAAAGGGGGCATACCTCATCAACAAGGGTGCGCCTGCACAGTGACTATTTGTATGCCTACCCTGAAAGGTACCCCACAATATTAAAATTTTTAAAATTTTGCAGTTAAAAAAAAATGCAAACAATCCTGCAAGGAACCCGTTTCCCTGATAAAGACAAGAATAAAAGAAGAGCAAAGTCTGGTTTTCTTGCTAAACAGGCTTAACTTTCTTCCATCATCATATACTTTATTAATTAGTAACAAGAAAGTGTAATTTGTTGTATTTAATTGTCTATGATAAGATACATGATATAAGATGAGGGGAAAAAAACCAAATCACAGAGAGCAGGACTACATGAGGTCCAAAATTCCTTAATTTTCATCCTAAGTGAGTTCTAACATATCCATCCACTATCAATAAAAGGCAAAGGGGTACTTGGAGTGTTTTAAATGAATACTATATGGAGAAAATAGTAATGGAGACAAATACGCCGATAAGTGCCTAGATCTTATAAATACTATATTCCTATACTCAAGGAGTCAGGATGGTCAAGTCAACAACATCAACACTTTAAGTTCGTTTTTTTGATTTTGGGGGGGGTTTTTTGAGTTGGAGTCTCACTCTGTCGCCCAGAATGGAGTGTGGTGGCCACTCCCGGCCACCACAGCCTCGACCTGCTGGGCTCCGGCGATCCTTCCACCTCAGCCTTCCAAGTAGCTGGAACTACAGGTGCGCACTGGCACACCCGGCTAATTTTTTTGATTTATTTTAGAGATGAGGTCTCACCAAGTTGCCCAGGCGGGTCTCGAACCAGCAGGCTCGGGCAATCCACTCACCTCAGCCTCCCAAGGCACGAGATTACAGACTGAGCCACCAAGCCCGGCTTAAATTCATTATTTTTAAATGTAATTGCAGCCATGTCACTGTATTTTAACTGTTAAAACGCATGCATAAGTGCTGACATCATTCATTTGAAATTTGTAAAATGAAAACTGGGACAATGAGGTCCTTAGAAAACATTCAGATATGTTTTAGGAATCTGATTTACACTCCATTAGGTAAGCCATCTCTTCAGAAAATTTTTTAAATGCCTATCTGGCTGAAGAATTTAAAACCATTTTATGTATTTTTTTAACTACTTTTTTAACTAGTCCTGAGTCACTTTTCAAATAATAGTTACAATGTTTTATAAACATAAAAGAAGCAGAGCTGAGTGTTGAATAAAAGCCTTTCATTAAAATGGATAAGCCCATCCCTGAAGAATGAGAGTGAATATGAATTAGTCAAGTTTTGGTCTAAAATGACTAGATAATGTAGTGATTTGTGTCTTGAAAACTGTATAGCAAGTAAATGAAAGTCGTTTTAGTCATAGAACTGAATGGAAAACGAATGCCTTTTGAATATTTCCTATAGAATTTACAAAGCTAGATTAATTTTCATGAGTCACCAAATTAAAGAATATGCAAAGAGTTTCCCACCGCACTGTAGAGGAAACAACCTTCTCAAGTGGAGGACTGTGTGACCTGGATGTTTAGTTTTAGGCTAGCAAAATAACTCACTCATTTGGTGATTTGTCAAAGACCCACCCACTGTTCGCACACACTTTCTGGGCCTAGAAATGTGGAACAAACAGGCACATCAAGCAAAGGAGGCAGTTATCAACAACGTGGTGATTTACCGAATTTTTATGAAGTTGAAAAAATGACTAAAATTATGTTTAGATGTGAAACAGAGACTGTACGTGCAGGAGTGGGTGGGTATAGGTTGAAAGTAAGTAGTTTCTGATGTAATGTTAATGGACGTAATTCATATATTGGTAAGGTAGTTGGATACCAAAAGGATTACAAGGTTTAAAAGTCTGTAAAACCATACATTTGCACCTATGCACATTTTACCATATTTCAATTTCATATCAATATAAAAGCAACAAGAAAGAAGAAAAGAATGATCATATAACATTAATGGAGACAAGCATATTCATTTCTACCTTTTCTTCTCTAACCGACATGAAACTAGCCAATCCAGACTGCTCACTGGCAGTTGGGATCCCGGTAGAATGTTGGGGGGCTCAGCTGTTTGTTGTGGCTACAGGATCCACGGTTACCAGGCAGAGCCCCGAGGTGGCTGGAGTGCCATGGAGGGGCAGTGATCCTCTGTGAAGCCAGGTCCTGGGCTGGCTCTCGGGAAGCTGGGTGAGGTGGGAGAGGAGCTGCTGGCCCATGGCCCGAGTTCGCAATTTAATTTACTCTCCACAGCGTCCAGGGGGAGACACTGGTGTGTCCCACTCTCATCGGCTTATTGGTGGGTCTCTTACTTGTATTCAGACTTGTTCGGTCTGTTCGGAGTCGACTTTATTTGAGATGCGAGCAGCAGTCTGCAGAAGCACTGGCTGCTCAGATCGAAGAGAAATGCCACCTCAGCGACAAGCTCGGTGCCGCCAGAGAGGAGTGTGCAGAGATCGAGTCATCTTGGGAGAAGGCCAAGCTGGAGAGAGAATCTCTAAATCCGCCCAGCCTTAGAGACACGGAAAGGTGAAGAAGACCAACTCGATGCTGATGGAGGAATTAGCTTCCCTGATCCAAGAAGTGAAAGGAGACAAAAACGCTCCAAACAGCGAGAAGAAATGGAGGAGATGCTACAAACGCTGGAGTCTCTGGAAGAGCTTGTGGAAATCACCTCATCGCAGCAGGACTTTCCAACCCTGCCAGGAGGCCTGGTACTGAGACCCGTGGTTCCTGGCCCAGGAGTGGGCTGGGCCTTCCAGCAGCGCTGCTCCCGCCCCTGCACTCAGGTGTTCGCCCACCTGAGTCCACCTGACGGTCGTTCAGGTTAGTGGGTCCAGGGGAGCCCTCCCTGGGCTAGAGTTCCTCCATCTTCACATGCCAGGCATGGCAGTCAACTCCTTCATGCCCAATTCCTTCAAATCTAAAGAATATGGGCCTTCCTGGAAAACACCATAAATGTGAGACATTCTTTTCACTGAAAATTTGGATTCTCTGTCATCAGCAGTGAAAGAGATGCTTTAGAGACTGTTTTACCCAGGTTAACAATTCATCAAACTGTATTTCAAGACAGTGTTTTTAATTATTTCTATATAGAAGAATGATTTCTATTTTATGGTATAATTTATTAAAATTCAAAAATATATGCAATGTAGCAATAAAGTCTGTTAGCTTCAAAGCAATATTCTTTTTCTAGAATTGTATTTCCAATAGTTGTAAATAATAAGCAAAAGAAACATTTGTGCCTAAGTATGTATTCACTGAAAAAAAATAGATCTCTTTTTTAATGGAGTTGAATGGTATGCCGAGAGAAATTTATAATTTTGATTTCTAATATAATAATTGCTAAATATTTTAATAAAAAATTTTGAGAAATTACCTGCAGATTTTTTTCCTTGGCTGCATGAACACTGCAGTGAGAGTTTTTTAAGAAGCAATCTTTCTTGGGCAGTGAGGGGAGACCCACATCAATACCCTTCAAACTTCTCTCACTCCCCCACTTCTCTGGGGAGGCAGAGGGTGGCCTCAAGGGGTTTCTCTGCACAGAATAAACCTGGATCCCCACAATTAACGTATTTGGTTACAAAGTGTGGCGATGCACACCAACTGGGTGTTACATTAGTGGAGGGAGAGAAGGAAGTAATACTTAGGTCAACTGGAGTGGTCACATGAGAAAAATAACAGAGAAATACTACAGGTTAACAGTTTCTCCTCACACTGACTTAAAAGAAAACATGGGGAGTCCACGCTCTCACTGGTATACTGCTGTAACATATCTTTCTTTTAATAAATCTGTGTTTCCTAATTAAAAGAAGAAAAGAAAACATAATGCTTGGGTTGGAGATAGAGCAAGGAAGATTAGAGAGAGAGTCTCTATTACCAAGTTGCAGGCATTCGAGGGAAAGATGACATACTAGCCGTCAAAATTAAGTCGGAGGCATAGCACGTCAGGAGAGGACGTTTTATGGACAACAGAACCAGGGAAAGGGAAATGTGTGCAGGAAATGAGGATGGAGAGGCCACTCCCAGTAGGGGAGTCAGCAAGGGCCTCTCTGAGGACCGGATATCTGAACCGTGAGGACACCTCGACAGCACCTCAGGATGACGGGACAGAGCTGACAACAGGCCCAAAGTGGGTGTCAGTGTGGCGTTTCTCGAATATAACTGCTTTGGAATGTATTTTGACGCCCAGTTGTTGGGCACATATACTAAGGGCTGTGTCTTCATGGAGAATTGTCCCATTTATCATTATGTAGCACCCTCTTTACCCCAGATAGCTTCATTGCTCTGAAGTCTGAAGTCTAAAATTAATATAGACACCCACACTTTCTTTTGTTTGAGTTGGAGTCTCACTCTGTCCCCCAGGCTGGAGTGCAGTGGCACGCTGATAGCCAATACAGGCTCGACCTCCTGGGCTCAGGCCATCTGTCTGCCTCAGCCTTCCAGGTAGCTGGAATTACAGGCGCACGCCACCACACCCAGCTAGTTTTTCTGATTTATTGTAGAGACAAGGTCTTGTCATGTTGCCCAGGCTGGTCTCGACCCTGTGGGTTCAGGCAATCCTGTCGCCTCTGCCTCCCAAATTGCTGGGATTACAGGCATGAGTCATGGTGCGTGGTTTTATTGTACCCTTTTTAGTAATTGCCGCCCAGAGTCTTCAAAATACATTTACAACTATCCCAAATCCTCCTTGAAACAAGAGTATACTGCTTCAGGGCTAGTGTGAATACATTATAATAACAAAATAGCCCCAATTTTCTCTTCTGTCCCTTGTATCAGTCATTTGTTACATTCATTTCATTTATACAGAAGCATATATATATGTGCATATATATAATGCATTGTTGCTGTTATTATTTGGAACAAACTATTTTTACTCTATTAGATCAATTAAGTTCAAGAAAAATATTTTTTTTACTTTTCCTTCACTTAATCCTCCTCTTATTTATTTCATCTTTTGTGTTGACCTCAAGTTCTGGCTTATATTATTCTCCTCTCTAAAAAAAAAAAGTCACTTTTAGCATATGCTTTGCAAGGAAGGTATACAAGCAATAAAATCCCTTAATTTTTTTTTTTTTTTTTTTT